AAAACATATTGCATTCTTAATTCTATGAGTCGCCTTTGTACCACGCCCCTCGAGGCAAGCCCGAACAAGTCTATGTTAGGGTCTGAAATTCTTATTTCTCACATAAAAAATAATGATTTTATAACTTTCATTGCCTTTTAAAGGCGCATCAGGCGCATAAAAATTTTATAACTTTCTATGCCTTTTAAAGTCTATGTTAGGATCTGAAATTCTTATTTCTCAATCAAAAATTCTTAAAGGCGCATCAGGCACACCAGGCGTGAGCCTTTTGAAAGGGGTGCGCCTAGGACCTGGGCGAGGCGCATACCCCAAAATGCGCCTCGCTTGTGCTCCTAGGCGCGCCTTTTAAATCACTGCATCTCAAACACATAGAAAAGACTATTTTCAGACAATATTACTTTATTATATATCTCAATGTCCATCAAGTATAATTTTGTTGTTTATAGGAAAAAGGCCAAACCTCATATGCGGAAAAAAAGGCATCTATAGTCTATAGGTGATGCTCTCAGCTGTATGAAGCACAAGCAGTGCATGAGCAGGAGGGAGGAGCTTACTTATGCATAAGAGGATGGAGGATTGTTCGGACCGAGATTAAAATTTCATCACGTATCGGGGCGTATCGGCTGAAACGTATCATATCGGGGCCCTTTTGATACGCCCCTACACAAGGTGTTTTTGGGGTCCCACCTATTTCAGGGGATAAACGGGCCTTAAACCAACCCCCCTGAACAAGTTTCAAAGAAAAAAAAAAACTTACAAAAAAAAAAGAAGAGTGAGACAAGATACAGCCTGATACACCCCATCCGATGTATCGGGCAGTATGGATATTTTGAACCTTTGTTCTGTCCCATACAGATTTGAAAAAATAAGGTTGACAAGGAAGTTCAGATCAGTAGAAGTTTAGGTTTATTCTTACAGGGTGGAGAGGAATTTACAAGAAGAATTAGTGGTCAACGAATCACTCAAACATTCAAACTCATATGACAAGTTTGAAGCAGGGCACATCAGGATCAATGCAGTGGATGAAGTAGAAGAGTAAGAAATCTGGAGGTAGCTATTCTGGGAGGCAGTTTTTCATGATCATGGTGAAGATGGGATATATGGCCTTATTTTGGATAAGAAAGCATCAGTTTTATTGATTATGTAAGCAAATAATGCACAAGTATGCAAACAACTTTAAGAGAGAACAGTTACTTCTATCTCTCCCCAAAATAATTTATTTTACAACTGAGTCCAAAAAAAAAAACTAATTCCTTGCCACCCCTCATTTACCTAATGCTTCTGCCATACAATTAGTTAATATTGGCACCCACTAGATTTTTATTTGCATATTCCTCGTCAGCCATCTAAAATTCTTGATTTCATTTACATAGGCCAACACAGCTCTTTCACTCTTCAGCAATCAACCTATCACCATCTTAGAATCTCCTTCAATGAATAATTTGCTTAAATTCATGTCCCTTGCTCACTGCACACCATCCATAAACTCTGCTCTTGTAGAACCTCTCACTTCAAAAGGACCCAAGAACAGAGCAAGTATGGTTATGTTTGGCAAGGTTTCTTGCCTCTAAACAGGCTTTTTAGAAGCGCTTTTTAGATAAGCACTTAAAATTCACTTGGTAAGGTGCTTTTTTGGGTGCTTTCTCTAATGAAAAAATGCACTTATTTGACAACGTTGCTTGGTTCAGAACGGGCTTTCACCACTAGGGGAGGGAGGAACCAGTTATAGCCGGTTGTGCCTCTCGAAGACGAAGGAAGAGGGACAACCACTTTAGTAGGTTATCGGTGGATTGTAAAAGAAGAGGAGGAGGCAAAAGAGGCAAGAATTTCAGGGGTTTTGTGGGAATTTCCCAGCAGTCTTCGAGGAGGAGAGAACCAGCCCCAACATCTCCTCATAACAGAGAGAGGAAACCGACCAACAGTGAGGGCTAGATCTGGGTGGTTATGGATACAAAGGGAACGAGAAGATCGGGGTTTGGGAGGGAGGGGAACTGAAGCTACCTCGGGCAGAACCAGGAAGAGAGAAGTCTCAAGTAAATGACAACCACGAGCCAGAGACAATCGTAACAGAGATTGCAGCTGTTTCAGGTGTAAGGGTGGAAGAAGCTGGGGTGGAGTCAGTAGACGAAGGCAGAGAGGACGGAGTAGACGTGGTTGAGACCTCGAACACAAAGTCCCATCTCAGACTGGGATCGAGGTGTCTCCAGATAGATTTGAAGATAGTTTCAGTCGGCAGGAGGTGAGTGAGCTCAATGAGGTGGGACTATCACCGGGAATTCTCCCTTGTCTTTCTTCTCCCCTTGGAACATTTCCCATTTCTGCTCCACCTCTAATTAGGGGTAACACGGGCTGTTCTGAAGGGGAAGGGAAGACTCTATTGGCGTCCGGGGGTAGGAAGGCTGGTACGAAAAGAAAAAGGGGGTGGGAGAACCAAGTAGAGTCTATAACAGGAAGAGAAAAACACAGAAGTTGGGGGAGAATAATCAGGGGGAGGAGGGATCAGGAGAGAAGGAGCTGTGGGACGAGGCAGATAGTAATCAGGAAGTAGGAGAGAAGGGGTCAGAGAGGAAGAAGACATCAGAGAGAAAGAGGAAGGTGGGAATCGAAGAGTTAGTAGAGAGACAGATAGAGGTAGGCAGAGCTCTGGGCCTGTTTTTTCTAGGGGGAGAAGAAACGGTGAGGAAAGCCATTGATCAGTACGAGAGAACTAGAAGGGAGAAACAAGAAGAAAGGGCTAACTGGGGAAGTGCAGAAGAGGGAGGGGAAGAGGGGGGAGGGAGACACGCAGGGCTGACGGAAGAGGAATCGAAGGGCAGATAAAGGGGGAGAGGGGAGCAGCGGGAATGAAGTTGCTATCCTGGAATGTAAAGGGTTTGAAAGATGGGAAAAGGAGAGAGGTGGTCAAGAATCTTCTGAGAAAACACAATCCAGATGTTGTCTTGTTTCAGGAAACTAAACTGGAACCTTTCAATTTAAGGGTGAAGATTGAGATTTGGGGGTCAGAGAGAGGAGAATGGGCCGAGGTGAATGCAGCGGGTATGTCAGGGGGGGTATGGTGGTAATGTGGGACCCAAGTAACATACGGAAGGAAAGGAACAGGAGGACTTTTGAAGACAAGGCTTTTAGCATGGAGAAGATGATTGTGGCTGTGGGCAGACCAGTGGTAGAATAGGTGTTGTTTCTTCCTGAATTCAGCCAACAAAAGAAGGAGGATCTTGGGAGTGGGTTAGGGAGAGATTTTGGGATATGAAATATGTAATGTAGAGCCTGTTATCTAATTTGGTAGTAGGCTCTTTTGTTTTTCTTTGTTTCCAGGTGTTGTCTCATCACCCTGATCTGTGATTTCTTTTCATTTAATAAAATTTTTGCCATTTACTTATCAAAAAATACAATGAACAGACTCTTCAAACTCCAAAAATATAGAAAAGGAGCCTCTTTACTTCTCCCTACACTCAATTTTTTCTCCTTCGTGGGCCTCATTCCAAACAAACCCCCTTTTAACCTTGCAAACACTTTTGAAAATTGAGCTGTACTGAGGGATTCCTGACTGTTGAAACGTCTTACAGCATTAGGCTTCTTCTTCACATCCCTCAGACCCCTTTGGTCACCAAACTTGAATCTCCAACATCTGTCACAGGCATCAGATCAAATTTTGAACATTTTCCTAGCAAAATCCTCCCGTCCAATAAAATGTAAACCCAAAGCCTTACCTCCACCTTTTTCCAAATCAACTGTCCCCTCAACTACATGAGTCTCATCCAAGATCACTTCCTCAGCATCTGAAACATCCTCAATATTAACATCTTTATGATCAATAATGCACTGTAAAGGGTTAGTTCTATATTTGTTTCATCTATAGGATTTAATTCCCACGTTCTTTTCGATGCTTCCATCGCCTTGAACCAACCCACCTTCAACACCAACACCTTTCATTGATCCCACATCCCCTTGCTGAGGAAGTTGGGATAGATGTTTATTTACACATACCTATTTTAGGAATGGATGTAGCATAGAGTGTAATTGTTTTTTGTCATTTTTTGTTTGGGTCATTGGTATGGTTTGTAAATCCAGATTGGCTGTTGGATTTGTTGGTTGTGTTTTGGTCCTGACTTTTTGGAGTTTATGTTTGGTAAAATTTGGGAGTCTCTTATTTGGGGTTGGAGCCGCAAAGATCGTATACTTCCTGCATGTTTTTTTCTTTTTATAAAAACTTTACTTTATTATCAAAAAAAAAATAGAATTTGCCTATTATGTGTATCCCACTAAAATGTTTTATGCAGACAAGGGAATAAAGGAAAAGTATCTTTTTTCACTTCCATTACAAATTCTCAATATCACTCAAGCAGCTCAAGTGAAAGCTCGTGATTATTGATCCAACCTGCATGCATTATGTAGTTTTACTGAAATTCAATTAGAGAAAAATAAATGAAAAATAAACTAAATGAAGTTCAAAGACTACCTGCTCAAAAGAATGGGCTTCACTACCAGGAACGCTGTACCAACATTTTGGCTCTCCCCTGAAGGCATATGAGAAGCAGAGAGTGAGAGCTTTGCAAATGATTAACTGTTTAAGATCTGGTTTTTCCATGAAAGCAAGAGGCCACATTTCAATTAACCCAAGAATTACTACATAAAAGAGAGTGAAAATAGGCGACTTTTTGGGGGAGGATAAATGAGAAAAGGATATGTATTGACAACCAAAATAAATTATACACAACAAAAAATACAGACTATTTTTTAATGAACATTGCTAGTGCATCCGGTAAAAGAGTCAAAAATGTGCAAAGCACATTTCAAAGAGGGATCCTCACGCACAAGGCTATATTAGTTTAAAAGAATCAAAAGAAAGATGGAGAGAGGAAATTGCTACTGCATTTTCATTAGATCAAAAAAAAATTGCCACCATACTTTCATAACAAAAATACATATAGTTTAAGCTAGACCTGCTCATGGGCTGGGGTTGGGCTTGGATTTTGCCAAATTTTGAATGGACCTAGCTTGAAACCCGAGCCTGAAACAGTATAAAATGTTCGCAGAACAAACCCAAAGACCACCCATGAACAGGTCTACTTTAAGCTAACATGTTAGGGGGAAAATGTGACTGACAATGTCAGACAAATGATATTTTTCAAAGAGCAAGGAATGAAGATTGATGTTTTCATAAGGTATCACAGTATGGAACTATGGATTCCATCGATAGATGAGGAAGCATCCCTGCTGTACAAAAAGTATGGATATATATGAAGCCATACACCAAAATACCAACCCCCAGGTCTTCAAATTTGTTTCTATTCTCATCATTACAAAAATGGATGAAATCCAAACCCTTAAGCTCTTCTAAAATGGAAGTCCAAAAGAAAAATAGATGTTCAATCTTTCCCATGACAGCACTACAAATACAAAAGGAAACGCAAGGACTCATCCCTCTCCAAAGACGAAAATCAAGAGATAGTCCCACCATGATATTCTCCCCCAACAACATGCAAACCCAACCTGTCAGAGAATTTGCTCATATTTGGACCCATCTGAATGAACTATTTAATATTGACTAAAATTATATTTCCCAGATGAAGTAACGCACTTTCCATGGTCCTTGGGTCTTTTCAGCATCCACCCCATGATTGATTGTTGGTCTCTTTCCACTACTAGCAGCACTAGGTAGCTGTCTGGATAACAAACCAAACATAACCCTGGTAGTAGAAAGTGCAACCATCAAAGTTATATCTTGTTAACGGTTTATAAATACTCCACCCACTTCAGAGATGTGACCTCTGTGAATTTAATAGGGTAGAGGAGTGGAAGGATCCAATGTCATAGGGATTGAGGTTCTTCTTGATGAAGAAGGTGCATATTATGATTTTTCACATTAAAACTAATAAAAAATGATCAAGGAAATCCAATACAACAAATGCACCTGATTTAGGCCCTATTTCTAGTGGAACAAAGACGGGTTGAGCTAGAACAGAAACATGCAGAAAGTCTGACATGTTAATTGCATGGAATGGACAGTCACATCATAACTTCAAATGAACTTAAAATGGCAGAATGAACACCATGACTCTCACAATGTGATGCCCCCTTGATTGTAAACCTGCTTCTCCTTCTTCTTCTTTTGGTGCTCTATCCCTTTGGTAACTTTTCTACCAATACAAGGTTGTTCCACGCATCTTTGTCGTTACAATTTTCACTTTTATTTCTTCATTCAATTTCTTTCAATCAAAATAACTTTCAATGTTGTCTAACCAACCCAAAAACTCTTTGGGTTCCAAATCACCATCAAACTCAATAATATGAAGCCTAACACTGTAACCTTGATTGGATTGTAAGGCTCAAACTTTGTGATCTTCCATCGCTAATTGTTACTCCTTTCATGCTGGTCACCTTTAGGTTGCTCAATGTCTTCTTCACTTGATTCTTTACTAACAATGTTAGAGGGCTGTTCATCAATTCTAGGAGCTTTCCCCCTCCTTCCTAGCTCCAAATCACTTGTTATGTCACCATCTCTAACAGTATTTTGGGCTTCAGCAAGACGTTCAATCTGATCCTGCAGCCCTCTTACAGCCTCTTGGAACACCTCTACAGTGACATGGTGTGGTCTTCTACCACCCCTACCACATCCACCTGTTGCAGCCATAATAATCTAAGGAAGATACAGCAAGAAGATGACTTCTGTCTCCTACTTATTTCCCATTGCATGGAAGAATTGTATTGTTGTCACCCTCCTTAATCCATTTATGCTTTGACTTTTGTCTCCTACTTATTTCCTCTTTATGGAGTACATCATCTTCCAATTGTTTCCACAGGGACCATCTAGTTTCCTTATCTCCTTCCCCAAAAGTACCCCTTCCCTCCTTTTTATCTAACTCCTCATTTTGATTAATCGATGTTTGCTTCCTCTCTTCAATCCTCTCGAACTCCAAAGTGTTCCATTCCTTTCAATTTCCTATGAAATCTCATCCCCTTCCATTGAACTCTTGGGTTGCTCTCCCCCCCCCCACCACTCTCTAATCTTTTGTGAAAATCCCGAGTGACACAACCACATATTCTCAAAGCGAAAGAGGGCTGGTCCTCTACCATCAAACTTCTTAAAGATGGAGACAGGCCAACGGTCCGAAGTTAATTCAGGCAAAGCTCTATACACTATACCACCCCAATGCTCCTCCCAATCCACCGAAAAAAGAAATCTATCCAGTTTGGAGCAAATTGGGCTAGCTTGGAGGTTGGACCAAGTATAATTACTATGTAAGAGAGGCAATTCTTTAAGCTCAAAAACATTTATGAACTGATTAAACCTTCTCATACTTGTAGTAGTACCCTGCCTCCTATTATTTGTTTCTTCAGTAAGGATGATCACATTAAAGTCTCCGCCAATATACCAAGGTCCCTCCCGCAATCCTCTTATATACCCAATTTCTCCCACATTTCCTTCCTATCCCTATATCCATTCACACCTTACAAATTTGTTAAAACCCATTCAAAATTGTCCTCCACTTGTTAAAACTTTATAGATACTATGAATTTGCCCACAAGTTCCTTAATTCCAATCATATTCTCCTCTCTCCACAAAGTTACCATACCCCCAAAAGACCCACAAGATTGGAACCATTGCCCAACTTATTTCCATAGTCCTCCAAACACTTCTTGCCCATCTACTATCAAACTCTGCTAATTTTGTTTCCTGAAGGACAAGAATTTTGAGATTCTCTTTTCTTACCACTTCCTTAATGGTTGTCCTTTTTCTAGCACTACCTAGACCATGAACATTCCAACTTAGGATCTTCATAATTATCTTGTCCTTCAGGAAACAAAATTATCTTCATAATTATCTTGTCCTTCATAATTATCTTTTTCCTCCCCTTCTACTATTCCCCTTCCTACTTGTCTTTTGTCCTTTCCCTTCTCACACTAAACTCTTTGTCACCTTCCACCCCTTTTGAGTATTTTTAATTCTTCTTTAAACAACATGGTTATACCATACACCTCTCTATCTTCCTCGCCAATACTAATTTCCCCCACACTGCAAAAATAATTGAATCAGTCTCGAAATCCAACTTATTGTCGTCTGACAAACTACAATTCACCCCAATCTCCATCGACGTCATCTACGTCTTCCTTTCGAATTTTGGTATGTCTTGGGTTTGGTCGCTCCATTACGCTTCGACTAGCATGGGATTCTTGAGACACAGCCCTCAGTCTCCACTGTCAAGCCTCCTTCAATCCATAGAAGGACTAAGGGACCATACTCGATTATCACTCACTGATTCATCAAAGATTAAGTTATACAAAATATTTAATAAGCCAGAAACTAAAGACATTTCAAACTCTCTGAGGTTCCTCACCAGCCCCAAGTTCCAATTCAATCCAGTAGATGAGGGAGATCCAATGAAGTCAAGCACATGTTTTCTTTAAAACTTGAGAGAGCAAACAAGGAAGGAAATACATCTTTCAAAGGAAGCTCCCCAACCCAAACATCTTCCCAAAATCTAATTTTATTACCATAAGCCAAGTCATACCTGACATGCAACTAGATTAGCTCTACACAGAATACTAGCATCCCAACCATTCCTTGAAAGTCCATAATACTTGAAATCACTTTATGCCACAACTTTCCACACTCCAAGGGGAAGTGCCATATCCACTTACCTAAGAGAGACAAGTTTTTCAAGATAATGTTTCCAAAACCCAATCCACCTCCTATTTCCTTTTGAACACCTTCTCCCACCTCACCAAATGATCCTTTTTCCTATCTCCCAATTCCCAAAGAAAATCCCTCATCAACTTCTCCACTCTTTTCACAATTGCTTAAGACATCCTAAAGATAGACATGAGATAAACAAGGAGGTTAGCCAACACACACTTTATCAAAGTGATTCTCCTACCCAAAGAGATATAGTTCCTTTTCTATCCAGCCAATCTTTTCTTTATTCTCCCCACCATCTTTTTTTTTATCAGCAACACAGAAAAGATTCATTAAATTAAAAGAATGTGTACAACAAGAAGTTGTGGGTAGACAAAAGGTCCACAGAAACCCCACTAATTACAAATACAGACCCAAGCTTAACCCAACAAAGCTTCATTCTCTCCACAATCGGGCTCCAAAAACTAGCAAATCTCAGGTTACCATCTAGAGGTAATCCTAAATATTTTAAAGGCCACTCCCCTCTCCTACACCCCAAAGACTCAACCATAGAGCTTAATTCCTCTAGCCAACACGGACTTTATCAAAGTGATTACTTGACTAGGCACATCAAGTAATTAAGTATGGTCCCTTAGCCCTCAGTCTCCTCCGATCCACAACCTTTCATTCTCCAGGGGGAAGTGCCATAACCACTTAACTAAGAGAGCCAAGTCTTTCAAGCTAATGTTTCCAAAACCCAACTCACCCTCCTCTTTCCTTTTGACCACCTTCTCCCACCCTCCACTCTTTTCACACCTCAAAGACTCAGCTAGTCAGCCAATAGAGCTTAACTCCTCTACTTCAACATTTATAACAATCACCACTCTTGTTCCAATTGACTTTTAAATTAGACATTCTTTCAAAGAGGTTTCTCCTTAAAATTTTTGTTTAATACAAAATTACAACCTTGTTTAGTTATTAATACTTTTTTTATGCAATTACACTATTAATACTAGTTATAATAAAGTGTCATGTGCAAAATATCATAGTTAATTGATCTAAAATGCTACTGTCTTGTAAATTCTAATGTTATTAGTATGTAAATTGATATGCATGATGATTGGTATGTAAATAAAGGGAACTAACCTAGAATTTTGTTTTTTCCTTTGTGAAATTTTATTACCTAGGCAACGCCTAAATGACTTGGCACTCCACTGCCACCTAGAATCACCTAGACACCTTTCCAACTATGGGGGTTTAGTTCTATACTAAATTTGGAAACTTTCGAGTAATGGCATTCCTCTAATAGCAAGTTCGATTAAAGCACTTGTAATAATAAATGAAGCACATCAAGTAAGCATATTTACAGATTTCCATAGGTTTTGAATAGTTGTAGATATTATTAGCAAAAAAGGCCTTGCATTAATATAAAACAAAATGCATTAACCAATCCAACTAGAATGAAAGAGAATAACTAACAAATAGAAATAAACAAACACAAAATATTAAAGAAGAAAATGCATAGCAGATACATACCAGTGTAGGTAATTCATTGAATAAAAACAATGGTCTTCAAAATGCCAACAGAAGGATGAAAAGAGCATCCCAATATACAGCCAGGGCACCATGACACCAGCAATATTATGGTGGACTGCACGAAGCACCGACCCTTGCAGTTTGGGCAAGTTGTTGAGATTCCATGGACTAGCACAATACTCATTCCATACCTCGACCTCAACTGAAGTTGGCCTTGGATCATTTACACGAGGAAAGCCACTTCCATATATGGATGTATCCAAGTCACTGCCATACAACACTTCGACTTCACCCACTGACCCCTCCACAATTTCCCAAAACCTTTTCTCAATTTGCAAACGTGAGACACATGCTGACCCAAACCATTTCCTTTTGGCCCGGTCAGCCAAACGCCTAAAAGCATCCAATGAGAAATGCTTTCCAGGAACGAAACCAAAACTATCTTTATCGGAATTTACACATTCCAAGCAATACCAGTTACCAGGAGGCACCTTCTTCAATGGTGGTGAAAGACAATAAATATGCCAACCCTTGTTACACCTATCACACAATAGCATTACTTCTCCATGTAGTCCACTTCTGCATTGTTCGCATATCTGATCCAAATCATCTTGCTTCTCTAGTGTACCTACCTTTGTTCTCTCCCCACCAGAATTTCTCCGTCTCTTTTTAGAACTAGAAACAACAGAGCCCTGTATGCTCTTCCCATTCCCACATATTCCTTTCTTATATCTTTTCACAGATTTGTCATGATTTGACTGACTGTGATAAACCTCGTAATCATACAAATGCTCCCGATACAACTGGCACAAAACATGTTTCGAGCACTCTGAAATCTTCCCTACTGATCTCACGAACCTAAAAACCTCTGCCCATTTCTTCTCCTTTACAACCTTATCATAACCTCCATAGCGTTTAACAGCATTGAAAAGTTTACACAAATCCAATTCTTCCCCTTCAAAAACCACCCTCTTCTTTTGTCTCTTCCCACTGTGATATTCCAAAAACCGGTTGTACTCCAATTCAAATGTCTTAGGATCACAGGCAGCCACACGCGCCTGCAACTGATGAATTGCTTGTGTTTTTGTAGGAAAGGTGAATGATTCTAAGTCTAATGCAAATGGGGGTTTCCAACTCTTGGGTGGAACAATTCGGCAGATCCCATATGGCTCTGCTTCCGGCCTGATCTTATATATAAACTCTAAAGGGTCCTTAAATTCTTCTTCTGTTGGATAAAAGACAGGAGCCTGTGGTATATTCAATGCCCCGGATGAAGATACAGCAGAACTGTGACCTGGAACCCCTTTTTCAACTGCCCTAGGTCTTCCTTTCCCCATTAAAAACAGACACCATAGAGAGAAACCTAAAGGCGCGCATACACAGAACCTTAACTACAAAGAACAGAAAGAATTCCTAGGGTTTTGTTAGCGTACCATTACCTGGAGAGTTTCGACTTTGGACGTGAACCTTATGGAGACTGATCCGCAGTGTCTGCTGTTTCGGTTGTTTTCCGGTTGCAAGACTTTCGAGTGGGAGGGAGTATTTTCCGTGGGAGATTTGATATCGGGACGGGATCAAAAATCAAATTTGTTTATAGGTTGCGAAAAAATAAGGTTTAAGTTTTGGGTTTAAATGTTGCTGAAATTACAGAAACATCTCTATTTATGATTTACTACTTTCCTTTCTATCGGAAGTTCGGAACTTCTTTTCGTCGTTATCGTGCTTCACCCTTAAAAGTTTCACCTCTTTCCCTTTTGAGGTCATGGGGATAACCGGATAAGTAATAACGTCACCCTTGGAAAATTGGAAGGACGGAATGAAACCGTCCTCCCACATGTGACATACACGTGATACACATACCCTTTGACGTCACATCCACTGCCAACTGGCAACACCAAAGGACATGATTTGTTCCCTTCAGTCTATGCAAAGAAGAGTCATATTTTCGCGAAACACTGGATATAACTTGACACGTCAACGTAGAAGACGAGCGAATCACGCTTTGACTAAATCCAAAAGATACTTTAGAGACCGTTTGGCAGTCTGAAACTTTCTACTTGAAGGGCTACACAACGCGAGTAGTCCATCGCGAGATTCGATACCAAAGTCTCCGCTACGAGCCTACGACCAGCAGAGACCTGAATTCACATCTCCGCCCCACAAGGAGCCGCCTTACAACGCCCCACAGCACATCCCTGCTTTGTATTGAGAATATCTCCTAGTAATAATACCAGAACCGATGATGTCATCATCGGGAGATATTCCCAATATACAGTGGGGATGTACTATGAGGCATTGTGGGGCATCGACAGAGATGTAATCTCTACAAGCTGATGGGCACCTTGCACAGTTTGAAGCTTAAGTGGAATGCCTTATTTTCACCAAATATTCCTATAGGTTGTTACTGGGGCCAACCATGAAAGGTATCTGCAAATAGGGTGTCAATGATATTCGAAATTTCAATTTTGAATTCGAGATTTAACATAATTGAATTCAGATAATTTGAATATCTAATTCGTTGAATTTGGATATCCTATTCATACGAATAGCTAATCATATTTGAATTCAGATATAACCGATTCGATTCAATAAATATCCAAATTCAATCGATTATTTAATTCTTATATATAATATATAAAATATTTAAATATCTTGTATAATTTATATATATAATAATTAATTATATAAATAATTTATATATTTATATACTTTGTATGAATAAAATATTTATTTTATATATTTATTAATTACCTAAATAAATTAATTAATCGAATCCGAATCAAATCAAATATTCAAATATTTAATCACATTTAAATTTAAACATTAATTTTTAATATCCATCGGATATCAAATTTTCTAATCGAATTCGAATTCAATCTATTTACATCCCAATTCTCAATGGGGGCCGGCTTGGGTGTTCTTAACTTGGATTTATATGCCAAATAAAATGAGTAAAGACGATGGCAAATCAATTTAAATTTTTAATTAAAAGGGTTCAATGCAAAAAAAAAAAAAAGTTCAAAAAAAATCTCTTCATTAAATCAAGTGGGATTCCTTTTCATTGTTATTCTAAATCTATCATCTTACATTATTTGTTATTTTTATCAGTTCTCTTCGTAATGGTTTTTTTATTCACTCGTTTTGCATGATCAAATCAAATAAGTTGTTTTCTTTTCTTCTATATCATTGGGTGACCTAAAAACTATCATCAACCATATGGATGATTAATCGTACGATCTCATTATAACAATTTTGATGTTTGAGAATTTTGATAATACAAGGCATTATTTTATTGCTTATGCACTTATACTATATACATAGATAGATATAGATATATAATATGCATTTTATCATTCTAACTTGATATATTTAAACTGTGTTTTTTTATTATTTTTAAAGTATTGCCTCACCTTTTTCTGCCCATTATACCTCAACTACACTTTTATCGTTTTAAAACGTTAGGTTTAATTACTTTCATCGTTGCTTTAAAAAGTTATTGAAAGAGGCTTGACAGCTTTTTGTGCCCTTTGGGGGTGGCTTTCATGCTGTGCCTTTTTTTTTTTTTTTTGAGAGGCATAAGCAATGTTTGGTAAAATAATATGAAATGTTAAATTTATTCAAAACAACCAACATTTTAGACATCTTCATGGACAAGTCTCTTTAAGCTGCTCCTCATGGCTGAACTAAAGTAGTTATGCATGAAGCTAAGCCCACACAAACCTGCTGGCTCCTAAGTCTCGAATTCAAAATTAATCCAATCATAAGATCGGGATCATTTCCATCCTGCACCTCATCTCACATGAATTTAGAAATCCAACACCATTTGAAAGTTGTGCCATACTGCTTCCTATTTCTCAAGCTTAGATGGTAAGCACTGTGCAGTGCTAAAGACCAACTCCAACACATAGTGGAATCTACTGTTTCAATAATTTACAAAAAACCAACTCAGCCTTAATCCCAACAATTTGGTTTCAACTATATTTCAATAATTTACTACAAAGAATCTTGTCCTTTTCCCATTAAATAAAAACAATATATTTCAATAACTAACAGAACTAGAAAAACAAAACATGACCCAAAATTCAGACCTTATCATTCTGATAAGTGAATTGCCTTCTAATAGGTGAAAGAAATATTATCAAAGCAGTGAGGCAATGGCAAGTTGTTTTTCCCATATTATAGGATGTGATGACTAGTTGGGGCCTAGGCGCTATCCAGTGGTTTAAAAGGTATGAGGTGTACGCCTGGTGGTGCGCCTCCAGGCAAAGTGCTCCCAAAACACCCTGAGGTGTATGCCAGAGGCATTGAGACCTCTGAGGTGTATGCCTCATGTGCAAGAGGCATAAACCTCATACACCTTTTTCATGAGGCATGCTACAGGCAAACACCTCATGCACCTCACGCACACCTCATATAAAAAGACAAGAAAAAAGAAAGGAAAGGGAAGGAAAGGGAAAGAAAAAGAAAGAAAGAATAAGAAAAAAACGAGAAAAGAAAGAAAAGAAAAGGGAAGGAGAGGAATGAGAAGGGATTTGCTTCCAGAGTGAAGATATGGTTAAAACAGATACCTAGATGAGACAAATTATTGGATGATGATCTGATCAAGGGCTCATCATTATATTATTTGATCGCCTAGTGCACTTGCTAGTGTAATCTATACGCATCAATACCAATATGAAAATGACAAATTAAACAAGAAAAGAAACCGAAGTTGCATGGAAATTTAAAAAAAAAAAAAAGTATGGGCTATAATCAACCAAAGGGACTGAATGCCTATTATATCAATGTAGGAAGATGTTTTTTTTTTCACAATGAAATATGCATGAAAAATAAAATAAGTTGATAAACTACTACCTATCAAAACAGTAAAAAAAAACTATAACTAATTAATGGATGCTTGAAAAGTAAATGACCTATGTTTTAACGTGGGGAAGACAATGTTATGATGCAAACAATTACCTAAGGATCATTTGGAATGAGGAATGATTTAATTACCCTATGGAAGACTCAAGTTCAAATGCTTATGATGTAGAATTATTTTAATAAAATGGGATAATAAACGATCCTAGATGATTAGCACCCAAGGAAGAACTAATAGAATGATGATTAAATCAGCATCAAACAAACTAATGGTTGGGATTTCATGAAAGCATATAATAGCAAAATTTAAAACTATGAAGAGATGCTAACAATGTTTCATCTTCATATGGCCAAAAGTCAATCCTACTTTAACTACTTAGACAGGAACAAAAAAAATAACTAAGACAAAATGGAAATAGCAAGCCTACAATAGAAGAAGAAAAAAAAGAAATGTCAAACCTTATGAGTCATGAAGTAGGAATCACTTCTCATCAGTTTTTCTATTAGCAACATGGCCTTTATAGTTGCCCTCGCTATGTTTCTTCATGAGGCCTTTGAAAACCTTGTGAACATTTGGGAGGTCAAAGACATTGGTTATGTAGCCCAATATGTGTAAAAAAACTGTTGGATCGAGTATCATTTTTGTTGCGCAATTGTTACTTCACGAATGCTTTTAGCTTCTTCTCTTAGATGTATGCATG